GAGGTGGGAACCTATAGGGTTTCTTCAAAGGGAAACGAGGCCCTCATTCCTCACAAAGGCCAGACAGCCATGCCTACAGCAAAAGACAGGTAATAATGTGTCCAAATAGCACAACTATTTTGTTTCCTCCACTATGAAGAAATTCTAGGAAATGTGCAAAATTAGTTAAAAGGTGACACTTGGTCCTAAATTGTATGTGATAACAAGTCAAAGAAGAGCTTTTAGATAACAAAAAAAATTTCTAAAATTTGAACAGTTTTTGCTTTGCTACTAAGATTAAATAGAAACAAAACAAATGAGGACGATTGAATCAAGGGAAATTTGGACAATTCAGGCAAGAAAACAAGTGACCTCTCCCTTAGTCTGTTTCTACCCCATGGTAAGGTGAGTCATTATGTGGTATAATTGTTCTGTGCCTCTGTGGATGCTCTACAAATGGAGCAAAACCATGAAGTTTCTACTCTTCTGGAAGTGTGTGTGGGTTGGAGGCTGTTGTCCTGGTTGGGCGTCATATAAAACCCTACTACATATTCATCAGGCTCAAAGGTCACATTGTATCCTGTGTCTTATATGACAGGAAAGGTGGCTAGGGAATCTTAATTGCAATATAAGTAAAAGTTTATAAAAAAAAGTTGAAAAGTAGCCTAAATAAGATTCACTGTGTAATCCCTTTAGACCAAATTTAAACACTGAGGAGTCAATCACAAGTGATTAGACCTGCAGGGATAGAAAATGAGTTACTGTGGTGTGTATCATCTTGGACATCTGAGATATCCCAGATATCATGGACATCTGAGGGTAGGAGTCAGTCTCTGACTGGTAATCAGGTATTGATAAGGAGGAGCAGTTAGTTAATAGTTTGTCTGTAGTTTACGGTAATTTTCACATTTCTGAAAAGTTGGCCTCATGGTTTGGCATCTTGGGAAACCTCCACGTCTTCTTTGTGGAGGTGATCTGAATCTAAGCAGATAGATTCTATGAGCCCATGAGAACTACCAGGATGGATTGCACCAGTTGGTTGGAATGGCCAAAGCCAACGAGGACTGCACTGGCTGAGAGTGACTCATCCTGCCTCCTCAGGATGGAGGCAGGATGGAGGAAGCCGATCTCAAATCTGTGAGATGGGCTTTGTATGTTGCATGTTGATGTGGGACAAGGAAAGAGCTGGGCATTATAACATATCCAGACCCATTTTTAAACATATGGCCATATTTGTTAGCCATTTATTAATATCTGATCACAAAGGTTGGAAATAGAATTTGTTTTTAGAAATAAAAACATTCTTGAAGGAAGTTAATTTTTAGTGAGACCATTGTATTTTATCAGTTATAATGAAATGTATATATAAGCAATGTTTACCATTACAAAAGTTCTTAGCTCTGCCTTATTTACTATACTCATAATCCAGAATGTGTTTCTCCACTCCAAATTTCTGATTATAAAATATTAATAATTTGTTATCCAATTGTGTGGCTGGAAGGTATTATGTAGGATAAGTGGATCTTCTCATCCTTTTTTTTTTCCTTTTTAATTGATGAAGCAAAGTACCATTCAGCAAAGACTATTTTTTAAAGTATTTATTCAGTTGACAACCAATCCCAAATTAAAGGAGATGAAAAATAACATAATTATGAAAACAACAGATTGCCTGGGTGTAGCTTGATATGTATGAGGGAAGACAGGAAGTCTTACAATTTTTTAATATATGATTGAACCAAAACCTGTGGATAAGTTCTGATGTGGTTGGAAGTGACAACCAGTTCTCTTAATGATTCACCAAAGGAAAAAACTCAACAACTGAGCATAAGAAAATTACATGGATATAAGCTATCTGTCTGGTTTTGAAATGGCAAGGTGGGTATAAGTGGTGTGAATCAGGTCAACAGTGGGCTAAAGGAAGTAGCCCCGGAAGGCCCAGGATCTGGCCTGAGTCTGGGGTGTTCACTTTCCCATGAAAGGAGCAGGTGATTCAGGTGCTCTACTTGATCACAGACAGAAGGGAGATTTGCAGCCTAGGCTTGGGGAGAGGACTAGGTGGAGGCACTGTCCCTGAGCCATCTCTGCATTTACAACCCATGAGGACCACCGTGTATGACTGAAGTGTGGTTGAGTTAAATCATAATAATTATAGGGATGCCTGGGTGGCTCAGCGGTTGAGCGTCTGCCTTCGGCTCAGAGCCTGATCCTGGGGTCCTACGATTGAGTCCTGCATTGGGCTCTCTGCGAGGAGCCTGCTTCTCCCTCTGCCTGTGTCTCTGCCTCTCGTTCTGTGTCCCTCATGAATAAATAAATAAAATCTTTAAAAAAATCATAATAATTATAAAGACCCAGTCCTAAGTCTTAGATTGTCAAACATTTGGGCAAGTCACAGCTTCTCAGCATCTTATATTCTCTTACTTGCAAAACTGTAGAGAGTCTAGATCTGTACAGTTCCTCATAGTTGCAACATTTAAAGAAAAATCACTTTGAATAGAATTTTAGAGCAGCAAAGATTTTAATCTAATTAAATATGTTTTCAGATATATATTCACTGAGTGAGTTAAGTGCTAGACAAAAATATTGTTGTTCAAATGAGGAAAATAACACCATATTAGAAATAACCTTGAAGTCAATTACTTTTCCAATTAATAGATTTAACATGATGAATATTTCCCTAATAGCAAAACAATTATTAATTCATAAATTCTAAGTTTAATTCCCCTAATTCCCCTTTCTTTTGTTTCTTTATTTCCTTTTTCCTTTCTTTCTTTGATGTAACAAACCATCGTCCTGTTATTATTATAATGGTTGCATTGTTTACATGAATCAGGATAACTCTCTCTCAAAAAAGTGCTCACAGAGGCATCACAAATATATGTGAAGAAAAACAAATATATTGTTGGTTCTAATTGTCTCAAATAGCAGAAAGGCAGTCTTTCGTTGGGTTAGGACACACACAGTATTATTTTTAAAGAGCCACTCATTTTGGCATAATTCTGCTAGTAAAACTTAACGTGTTTTATTCTTTAATTAACTCAAGATAAATTTTTAGAAAAATTCAGTTTGATCTGTGAGAGAGTAAGCATTTTCGAATTTTATAGTTAAGACTTCAATGGTATGAGAGCAAGTTTAGAAAACATTTTTATTAGACAAATTATTTAGACAAATTATACACAGAAAGCTCTGCCACTCATAACTGAGGCCTCCAAAAAGTGTTTTGTGTATTTGTATAATAGGCAATACATCAAAATAGGCCTATTTTAAATATTGTACATGGTTAACAGTTTGTTGATAGCTAAAATCACTGCAACATCTGGTATGTCCCTATATAGCTTGTAAAGAATTTTTTTTGTTTTAAAATCAGAGTTGTGAGTGAGATCATGAATGTTACAAGGGAAAACAAGTTGTGCATGCACTTAGGTACTTGTTACCCTGGAAACAAAATGGTTTTTGCATGATAAGAAATTTTTCTGCCTTACACAGTAGACAATATTTGAAGATTTAGTACAAAAACAGTGACAGTACAAGATGCTCCCCAGAACAGAATTAGCATCAAAATATAATATACCTTAAGAATATACCTTTTAATTTCTCCTAAAGCAAATCACACAGGTTGATTCCTAGACCAATCCTAGCTACTGAATGAATTAGATTAAAATAAGTGTATGGCTGCGTAAAAACACAGGATAAGTTCTTGCTTCCTACCTACCACATTTTAATTTAAAGATTACAAACAGAGTTCATTCTATATCTCTAACAGGTAAGAATGCTATTTTAAAAGGGTTGTGCACAAAGAGGCACTGTTTTTGCTGTCATCCTTCTACACACTTGGCACTAATGTAAAAAATACATAACTCCTCCAAATAGAACTGAATAAAAAGGGGGGTTAAGTCAAGAGCCCAGTATGGTCATTATATTTTCTTCTTCAGGATAATGTAGGACAGTAATTAAGGCCACATCAATATTTCTTAAGGGCTCCCACCTCTCCCCAACTACAGTTGTATTGATTGGCTTTCTGCTTTGGAAGAGAATTTATTAACCTTCAATGATCTACGTTTAAACTCTTATAGAGCTCTATGTGCTGGACGTGGTCCAGCTAATAGCGTTTTCCATTTAGATAATTAATTAAGTAAAATTATCAAGGTTAGCTTTATACACTGCTGAAGAACAAATGCAAAACCTATTCAAATGAGTTACATCTGGGAACAAATATTAATATCGCCCTGGATGTTTTAATAACAAATGTATAAAATATTCTCTGTTGGCAAATAATGCGAGTCAGAAGAACATTAAAGCAACCTGCCTTTTCTAACTGAAAAGATCCCCTGCACTATACATAGTTTCTGTATACAATAGATTTTTTAAACTAAAGCTTTATTAAATGAATTGCAATAGCAATGGCCGCCCTTTAATATATATACACATTATATAGGTGCATATATATGTATATATATATATATGAGATACTAATTTATTTAACACAACAGAGGCTTTTGCCATATGATAAAGTTTACTGTACATAGGAAAAAACTTTTAATACTGTACAATCACATAAAGGTCATATGCACTGTTGCAGTGCAAGAGTAGTTTTAACTGTAGTCTTGACTGGCATATTAATGGCTTTTTTGTAATCCTACAAAATTGCATTCTCATATGTGGCCTGAATGGTCTTTAAATTATTTTATAAACACTGCAGGGGTTGCCTTTGGTCCACAGTTAAAGGACACTCGACAGCAGTGGAGCATTGTATGGATGCAGCAGAAGAATGTAAAAAGACTGAAGTTATTGCAATTATATTTTTAAAAATAGAGACATGTTACGTAAGAGGCCTTTATGTAAAATTAATCCTGCATATACTTTTAGTATACTCAGTGCACATTTCCTATACTTGAAGTACAGTATATGAAAGCAGACTAATAGGATCCTAGTATACTATATTCTGGGGGAACAAGTCGAGTAATGAAAAAAAGTGGAGAGAAATGTACAGAAAGAGAGGGAAAAATAGAAAGAAATAGAAGAGAGAGAAGAGGGAGAAAGTGGAGAGAAAGAACTATAGTTGTTACTAATAATCCTGATTTTTTTTTAAATGTTACATCCATGTTAGTCCCACAATATTACAGTTGCTCCTTGCAAAGGGAGTCCTACAAAAGAAACAGTGAAGAAATTTTGTTTGATGCTCATATGGAGGTGCCTCGGTCTGGATCATTACCCAGATTGAGCCCCAGGGTAGGAGTTGGTTGATAAGGAATAGATGACATTGTTTTTATAGGACTCCTGAAAAAGCCCCCATTAGGTGCCCTGTGCCTAAAAGGGCCAGTTCGGTGCTCAGGCACGTTGCCAAAAGCGAAGCCAGAGGCAGCTTTAGCGGATAGTGTGCGGCTAAGAGTCTGGATCTGCTCTGGGATAAAGGTTGTTGTGGTAATATGAGTGTTCCTGAAATCACTGATTTGCTCCAGTGCTTGTCGTGTTGGCAAAGTGTCAATGTCCAGAGGGGTCAAGTCAATTGACGAGGTGGAAAACTGTTTATGGGGGCTGTCGTCATCTGTGCACAAGCTATTTACACGTCTATGGAGGTGCTCCAGGTCAATTTCCTTGTCATCCTGGAGATGAAGAAAAAGAAGATAAGGTTCTCATCAGTACTAGCTTCCATGGTTAAAAAAAAAATAATAAAAAAAATAAAAAAAGTAGTTCAGCAAACATGATATGTAATTAACTGAACTTTGGGGTTTATTATTTAACAAGTATCTACTGAGCACCTATTATGAGCCAGGCATTGTACTAGGTTCTGGGGATACATATATGACTCTGAGATAAGGTTACCTATAATCAATATTTTTCTTGTACTAAAAGTTCTATATATGTCACATGCAACTACAAAAATATGGGAGCAGTAGATGGGTGACTACCTTCTATGAGATCAGGGACAGACTCAGGCAAAGCTGTACAAATAAAAAGTATGGTTTTAACAACTCACTGCCCCACCACACCTCTTCTTTCCACATGCTTCCTCCCTTTTCAGAATGTCTCCGTTCAAGTTGCATTTCTTTTCTTTTCTACTATTCCCTCCTACCCTCAACCTTCCATTCCATAAGTGATATGATGTGCTAGTTCATGCTAAAGTGTTAGTGACTGTTAAAGTGTTATTTCTCTTTAGGTCAGAGAGATGTGAAATTATTTAGAAAGAGCAACATTCAACACAAGAGAATCAATTTCTAATTGAGGAATGTCATACGCTCGAGCTATTTAGTACCTGAATGAGGCAGTATTGTGAGGTCAGCGATACCTTTAGAGACCCCTTCAAGTCATGATCTGTGAATGACAGCTTTGGTTTAGGGCCAGATTTATGCCAAATGGCCTCTAAATCAAAGATGCTTTGAGCTATGCTAATGGAGTCTTAGTAAGAAGGTATTTACTAGAGGAAAAGGAAGAAAAATCTCAGATTTCTGGTGTTGAAACCAATTCATAACTCCTTTAGGATTTTCATTTACGGTGATCATTAAAGCCCAATGTTTGAAAAATAAAACGGGCAGGAAAAAAATCGTCTCTTATCATCAGCCAAGTTCAATAAATTAAATTCATGAGGATTTAAAAATACCTATTAATCATAAGAGAAAATATTTGTTCATAGATCTGGATTAGCTGTCATGAGTTAGAATGGAGTATGTATTTTTTTCATTGTGCTATTATAGTGCTCCTCGGTGAAAAATATTTTGATGTGCATCACTGTTTTTCCTTCTCCTTTCTCATTTCAAAATCCAATAAAAAATATCCATTAATGCAATATTATCACTGAGATTTTAGAGGGTTGAGAGATATAATTTTATGGTTCCCACAGCAACTATAATGTAGTCATCCATCAACAGATATAATAATGCAAAAATTTAATATCATATATAGTAATTCAAAATATAAGGAGCTTGGGGAGTCCTTAATTTTCAGATTTTTGAGAATATGAAATCTCAGCTATAATGTTGCATTAATATGGTCTTTTGCATTGAATCAATGTCAATAGAGAAACCAGAAGCTTATTCCGTAAAAAAAAAATTGCAATAAAACCTGTTTAATTTTTAGTTCATACTCCCCTAATTTAGAATGTATGATCGTTCAGATAGGGAGGAAGCTAAGTTTTATTTTTGGTAAGCCAAGCTTTTCCTATAAATGTTGCTTATCAATTTTGCATATAAGGCAGTAGAAAGGAATCCTTAGATTACTTTAGAAAAAAAATCTTTTTTACAGAACATATTAACATGTAAAAATTCATATGAACGTGAGAAGTCCTTTTTATTTGTGCATTAAAGCAGATCTTCTCGGGATTTGCTTTAACCATCAGTTAGCCAAAGTCTAATTACAGAAAGTTTAAAACTGTCCTTGAAACTTTCCAGCAGATCAAATCATGCAGCAAATTCAGGTTGTTTTCCATTTCAATTCGTGAAGCTTTAGTGAATATTTCATTATTTAAAAATTTTTCACCTTTTTGGTTCAGAAGGAAAATGATTAATCAAGCAATGTATTTTAACTTCATATTTTCCCTGCTAATTTAGAAATTCCATAATTTTTGATGAAAACAAGGCACATGCCACTTTCTAAGAGATATTATGTGTAACTCTGCAATTATTCTTTCAGATATCTGAAAAAATTTAAATTTTATATCATCAAAAATCTAATTCTAGGTGATTCCACACTATGGGTTTATTAAGCTTAGAGCCATCAAAGAGCTAAAAACATATATAATCACTTCTATAGGTCTACCACATACAGGTAAAGGGAAGGAGTCACTGCATAGACAGATTCTGATTACTTTACAATGGCATTGTATTTCTTAGGCTGAATCTTAGAGATACACGTAAGCTGCCTACAAGTTAACTTATGGAAATAAAATGATAAGCATCTTCGTGAAGTGGTCAAGGACCAAGCCTTTAAGAAAATCGCTGAATTAAATTCTAGCCTGAGATTTGGCAGAATTTTTAAAGCTCTTGATGGCACATGAAATTGTCAGTCTTTCCAACACTGTACATCTTTTCTTCATTTATCTGGGATGTCCTAAAATGGAAATTGGTATTGGCATTGTCAGTTTTTATATCTCACAAATTTATTTCAATATTCAGAGAAAGAAGCAACAAGGACAATGCCCACCCCGTTATCCTATTCCTGGTGATTATCCTCCCTGGAAAGATAGCCCACTTGTTGGGTCAACTTTGTGCTGAAGCTCTTAATCAAGTACCTCTTTCGATGGGACCCGGGAGCCTTTCCTCTTGTTCCACCACGTCTCCAGCATGGCTATAAAGCAGGACAGGACAATTCCAGCGGCCAGGATACAAAACACCCCTGCAAAGCTTTTTATGTCCAGGGCACCTCCTTTCTGCTTCGTATCCACTGAGGAGTACAGGGCACACTGGCCATTCTTTGGCCACCATTTGTGCTTTAGGATGTCCATGTCTCCATTCTGCTGAAGCTCCAGGATCCTTGGGGTAGAGAACACAGTCATGTGTCACTGCAGACATAGTTATTGCTTCGGTCCACCACACATCCATTTATAATCCTACCTCTAAAGGATGGTGGCTGTCAAGGGGAAATGAATGTATAGATTAGCCTGCAGAGGGAATGCCAGGGCACTGAAAATGTTATTGCTTTGATTTTATAGACAGGGTTGTGGCACTGGCTTTTGTCTCCCCCTTCCATACCCTCCCTCGCTTGTTCTCCTCTTCCCTTCTTTCCTCCTCCTCCTCCTCCTCTTCTTCTTCTTCGGTTTTATTTTATAATTCTATATATTCACCCCCCCCCCCGCTTTGCTGCAATGTGTTTTTACAATTACATTTCAGAGGCACTGTTTTTATGTGGTTTCAAGCTGCTGCAGTTCTGTGTTCCCTCCCTACATGTCGAATGACGCTCTGGATCTTAATGTTTTTATGAAGAACGTTTTGCTGCTTAGAGCAAGATGCTGGCATAATGTTGGCCATCATATGCTACACACAAAGAAATTCAATTAAAAAGTCTTCTATTATTTAACATTGTGTGGGAGAAAGCCTTGGGACAAGTTTGAAGTTGATAAAATAGATCATTTTTGGTTTTTCACACAACTGATGTAGTTTCCCTTTTAATGCCAAAGGGGAAAATAATCTTACCTTGGAGAACAAGAAAAAAAGTTGACCAGAAGCTTTTAGAAGTAGTTACATTCAAATAAGAATTACCCTTCTTTGTCTGTCTTCTTTTTTCCCTGAGTCTGGGGTCGAGCTGCAAAGACTGCAGCTATTTTACAGTGTGATTTTCACAGAGGATTTATTCTCATTTCCAAAAACTCTTTAGGCTTTACCTGAGACCTGTCTACCTCTGGTCCTCTTCCAAGTGTGCCCCCTCTCATAGGCTGAGAATGCTCAGGGCCAATGCCACAAGCTTGTCCAGAGTCTGCACTGTCCTCAGTGGTCCCTAGGTTTTCCCACCCAAACAGTTCAGAGTGCTCCTCTGGGATCTGAGAAAGCTTGTCACCATATTTCCTCCTGGGGGGGCAGATCTCACAACCACAAGGGCATCATGGATGTTTAGGGTGGTGCTTAGAGAATGCTCAGATGTACTAGCTCAGGGGTATACACCTTGGTGGGTGATCCTTCACTGTGCTAGAAAGAGCTGGAGGTGCAAGAGAGGGGGCCAGGGAATGACTCCCTGGGCCGCAAGATCTGTGCACTTACTCCAAGCTAGTCACAAATTAGAAACTAAAACCTGGCCTTCTATGGGACTTGAAGGTATATTTGTCATGATAAGATAGAACATATTGTATCTAAGAGTTTTTAGCTCAATTAATATATTTTTTTAATTTATATTTTGTACATAATTAGTCTTAGGATATGTGGACCTATATTTGTATGCTTGCTTACAAACTCTTGCTTACAAGAGACTGCTTAAAACTTTAGAGAGAATGATGTTTATCCAGAATGAGTAAATTCTTGTTTGGTGGCGCATTACCTTTTTATCTGGTTCACACCATCCTAGTGCTGATAAGAATTAGCTAAAAGACCATGGTTAGGGGTAGGGTCAACATTCAACTCAACCTGAGTCAGTGGAGTAGGACCAGCCTTAAGGGTTATGAGGGAGAGTTGGTTTCACCATTCACCTTCGGCTCTTCCCACAGTCTCAACCTCAGAGCCCTCAGCTGACACTGGAATGGACATTGAACTGGAGCCTCCCTCACAACTTGGATTTCTCCTTTTTTATGATATGGATCGGTCTAAAACTCTGTTGTTTCACAGTGTTGTTCAAGTAGTGCAATTAATTGAACTTACAAGGTGATTATGAATATTGATGGATTACACTTCACCCTTATTCCTGCCTCTTCTCAGACAAAGTCATTTGTATTTCCAGAATTTCTAAAAGTGTGTTCCATAAGACATTAGTACCTGGAGGGACTTCTGCAAGAAAAAGATCTTGTGGTCATTAACTTCAAGAAACACTTCCTCAGAAATTTATAAGAAAGTCGTGTATTACAGGTTCTAAGAAGACCTATAGAAAATAAAACTTGTATGATTTTGTTTAATTTAGCATTTCCCAAAGTTATCTGATTTTCCTTCTTCTTTCTTTTTTTCCTCCCCTTAAATATATATTCATAATTCATGGAGCTGGAGTTTTCAGGAATACACTTGAGAAAGAGTATCTCTCTGGAGCAGTGGGCTGGCTCAGTCATTAGAACATGCGATTCTTGATCTCAGGGTCGAAAATTCGAGCCCCACACAGTCTGTAGAGCTCACTAAATAATTAAACAAACAACTAAATAAACAGTGCTTCCATACAAAGGAACACCTACTTGTGGGAATTAGCACTGTATTAGGTTTTACGTACATCTGTAATCTGTAACCACAGTTTCAAAGTTGTCTGCTTGGCCTGTCTGCAAATACATTCAAATGATGTTGGCAAGCCCATTAGTTATTTGCCTACTTAAAGGCACTGGATAATCAGAATACCATTGAATACCTTGAAGGGAAAATTTAGTCATCTCTAAAAAAATAATATTCTTGGGGTGCCTGGGTGGCTCAGTCAGTTAAGCATCTGCCTTCGGCTCAGGTCATGATCCTGGGGTCCTGGGATGGAGCCCCATGTTGGGTTTCCTGCTGGGTGGGGCATCTGCTTCTCCTTCTCCCCCACAAGAGAGCTTGTGCTCTCTCTCTCTCTTGCTTTCTCTCTCAAATAAATAAATAATAAATAAATAAATAAATAAAATCTTAACAAAAACAATATTCTCAAATTTGAGATTATATGTAGAAATAAAAGGAAACTATAGCAGGATTTGCTTAATGAGAACATATATAGGCACAAAATGAGCACCAAGTTTCCTGGCCTTCCTCCTGCTCCCCCACACTATATTGGTCAATGTCTGTAGAAGTGGAAGGGTTTCCCTTCACAGCACTTATCATCATTTATAATAATTTGTGGTTCTTTGATTAATGTCTGTTCTCCTTTCTGGAATGTGGATTCCCCATATTCCATGCTGCTTAGCACAGAGCAGGCAAGTATTTATTGATTGAATATGCTCAACAGTTTTTGGCAAATGGATGTTGCCCTCAGATTCTACTTTTTTCTTATCATTGATGCGATTTTCTGACTTGTTCCATTCCTTCCTTCATCTATCCATTCGATAAATACTTAAAGAGTGGTCTCATGTCACGTAATTCTCTGGGGACAAGATTTATGTTAAACCACAACTGCACATTCAGCCAAAATGGCCTGAGCAACACTGTGATATTGTTTCTTTTTAATGCCATCATGTTAATTTATTCTTTCCTTCATTTGCATGTTCATTCAGGAACCAGTGATTGACTACTCTTTTTCCTTAGTAGTATCTGGTATCACAACAAGTCATTATTTCTACATCTGAAAAATAACTTGGTTTTAAAAGTGATCATTGTGGTATAAGCATTCATACTCTATATGACATCCATTTTGATGCTAAAGGAGTAAAGGGCCTTACATCCAAAGAATTTGTTTAATCGTAGATCTTTTAGGTTCAGCAGGCTGGGTGGTAGGAGTTACCGTGGGGAAAGAGTGAGCAGACTTCTCTACTTGTCTTCACACTACAAAGATCCTTTTATGTCTGGTCGATCTCAGGGAGCACAGATAGTAAGGGCATTGCACAGACACTCCATTTTTCAGGACAGACAGAACAGCTAGACCATAGGGTCCCTCAGTCAAGCTCTGAATAGCCCACAACAGGTTCTAGGAATATAGGTTGGATGGAATAGAGGCGTTGGAAGGGAATGAGAGTGTTTTCTGAGCTCAGATTTCTGCCATAAATTTTTGCTACAGAATCTAATGCAACTGGAAATTCCATGGGATAAGTGTCACTACCCCTTCCACTTCGTTACTTAACAAAAACCTATCTAAGTATTAGATAAAGAAAGCTTAGCAGGATCGAATGCACTGCCTTCAAGAAAAATTGAGTGAGTCCTTATAATAAATGAGGATATATGTATCTTTTTCAAATATTCAGGAACACTGGCATCTTTAAATGAAACTTGAGTCAGACCTAAAGGAAAGTTTTTTTTTTTTAAAGGAAAGTTTTTAATTATGAGCAGCACTGGTGTGTGTGTGTGCGTATGTGTTGCCAAGAATCTAGTCACGCAGTTCTTGATGAGTGCAGATTTTTAGTTCCATAGAACTAAAATTGCTGTATTCGCAATTTCCACAAGATGGCAGACTCTGCTCACAGAGAGCAGCGTGTTCCTGCCATTATAGTTACCTGGTGGGTTTGAAAGGTGTCAAGTATGAGCTTCTTAGTGATGTAAACAATTAATCTATTAGAAAGAAGATTGGACATTAGGCCATGATGAACAACTGGATGAATAAAAACCTCTTGTTGGAATGTAGTCAGAAAAATTCCTGCTATTTTTACTCCAGAGGGATGAGAGCAAAGCTTAGCATTTTGAGAGTTGTCCCGGTGAAAATTCATGAAGCAATAAACAAAAGCATCTCGCTCATTACTTGGCACTTAGTAGGCTGTGACAACTCAAAAGCTAGAATTATTATTACCAGCATGTGTGACAACCATTCTTTTTTTGAACCTGTTAAGGTACATATTTCTTGATGGGGAGTTATATTCCCAGATGAATCAGTGAGTGATTGATTCACTGACAAGAACATTGCATTTCCTTCTTTTGTCCAAAAGTATTAAAACATTTGTCATCCCATTGAGCAGAAAAACCTTAGCAGTCCATAAAACCTAGCTCCAACTTGAAAACGGCTAATAGATCAATTCTGCATGCATTGAATTCTTTATTGATATAAATGAGCAGATTTCAGGGGAAGTGAGTGGGGAAGCAGAAGATCCTTCCTTCACATTCAAATAAAAATACTCAACAAGGTTGAGGTGTTCCTCTTGAAATGCTTTTTACTTACTTTGAAGATAAAACAGCATCATTCATGTGTGAGAATTGTACTAATTATTGATCACTTACCATTCTTAATCACTGCTCTAGAAATT